CTGCAGTGGAACCCACAAGGAGCACGAGGCAGGGGTAGGCCACGAGAAACATGGAGGAGATGCGTGGAAAGGGACATGAGAGAAATGAAGCTCACTTGGAACGAGCTTGGAAGGACGGCTCAGGACAGAGATATATGGAAGGAGCTTGTATGTGGCCTATACCCTGCCAGAGGTGAAAGGCATTGATGATGATGATGATGATGATGATGAGGAGGAGCCAACTTCACCACTGACACCAATAGCCAACTACCCACAAGAAATGTCGGAAAATGAGTACGGAGCATTGTAGCAAAGAAGAAACAAGAGGGAAAATATGTAATGAAAAATATTTATGTTCAATAGCGGCACTTATTTATACCGAGAAGACCCAAGAAGACCCAAAAAGACCCGAAAAGACCGAAAAAACCCGAAAAGACCCAAAAAGACCGGAGAAGACATACATGGTTTATTCATTCATTGTCAGCACTTCTGTAAAAACAAAAATAATGTCGATCCCTTGTGGAGCTACTCTTAAAAAACTTAAAACACAGACACGGACACTCATTTCTTTCCTTTGCTTAAAGGGGGTATTATTATCGATCTGTTTGTGACAAATAAATAAAGAACAAATAAATAAACAATAAATAAATAAACCATGTATGTCTTTTCGGGTCATTTAGTGTCTTTTCGGGTCTTCTTGGTAAAAATAAGTACCCTTCCATAGTATTTTTATTTTACTTTACATTTGTGTGCAAAGTGTAACTTAGTCGGTGTAGTGTTAATATTCTGCGCAATAACTTTAAAAAAAACCCATCTCATTATCTCACCTCTGTGACATTGTGTCTCTCCTCGCCGTACCCGGGTTCCTCCGCCCGTCCCCTTCTCTTCATCTCGGCCTCGGCAGCTTTGCGGTACATCAGACCCGGGTGGTTGCACAACTGCTTCAGCGCGCCGATGCAGATGAGGTGCGGGGACCCCGACAGGTTCCCGCTCAGACAGCGGCGAATGAGGTTGCTGCGGATGAGCTGTCGGTACAGTGTCAGCTGAAGGGCGGACGGTCGGCAGAACAGAACCAGCTCCACTGTGGAAACGTTCGAAAAAACTTGGTAGTTTTAGTTTTAGTTAGAGTTTTACGTCACTTGCACCACAATAAGGTCAAATGAGCGTCAAAGGTTAGAGGTGTTACCAGACCGTAACATACAAGGAAAGAAGGGTTTTTAAAATTGTTTTAGTAAGAGTTTTACGCTGCTTGCAACACAATTAAGTCGTATAAGTGCCAAAGATTGGAGGTGTTACAGGAGAGTAACCAACACAAAAAAGGAGGAGAGATCAGGACGATAGATGTTTACTAGGAAAGAAGGAGCAAACCACACCAGAACACCCGCCAACCACCCACAGGTCAGATAAGTGCTGAAGATTAAAAGTGTCATATACAAAGACAAGAAGTTTTCTTAGTGGTTATTTTGTTTTAGTGTTTTACAGTACTTGTAACACAATTAGGTCATAGAAGTGGCAAAGATTACAGGTGTTACAGGAGAGTAACAAACACAAAAAAGGAGGAGAGATCAGATAAGGATGACAGATGTTCGATAGGAAATAACAGGGTTCCAATATATTCCCCACATTTTTCTAAATTTAGGAGGTAAGTCGTAATTGTTCAGATCAACTCCTCTACATAAGTCTACCTTTCGGCGGCAAGTAGTCGTTGTTGACCTCTTGTGTCCGCCTCAAGACAAACATCTGGGTCAGTCTGGTCAGCTCCTGAGCCCGGTCCGTCCCCAACTCCTTCTGCTCACCCGTGGCTTCCGGCTGCCTCGAGGCCACGATGGGCTCCTCATACACGCGTCGGAACGCCGCGCTGGTTCCTGGGGGAGTAGGACAAAAGTTTCTTGTTTTAGTGAGTGTTTTACTACGGCATTTGCAACACAATAAGGTCATATGAGAGGTGTTACAAGAGAGTAACAAACACAAAAAAGAAGGAGGGGAGATAAAGACGATAGATGTTTGACAGGAAAGAAGAAGCAAACTACACCAGAGCACCCACCAACCACCCACCAAAAGTTTCGGACGGCGAGTCTGCATGCAGGAGAGAAAACCCATATAGCTGTATAAATACCTCACAGCCTCGATATTCTCAAGGTCAGTTCAGTTTTAATAAGAGCTTTACGGCACTTGCAACACAATAAGGTCATACAAGTGCCGAAGATTAGAGGTGTTACGTTACAA